GAGGGTGGAGAAAACAGTGCAACAATGAATGAATGAATGAAAACCCAAAATCTCTGTAAATGTTCATTAAAACTAATAAAATTTAATAATAAAAAAACAGAAAGGCATTTCAAACCACTGAAAAGGAGAGTCTCTGTTGAACAACTATATGGACCAGCTTACTAGGGAAGTGAGGAAGCTGTTGGGAAATGGAGGAGACAGGGAGCCACCAAGGAGAGAGATGACTGGAGTTGAAAGAGCTGGAAGACCAGAAGACGTGGTCAGAAGGTGTGGTGCTGGAATTTAGGCAGTCAATTCATTTCAGTAGATGTCAAATTTCAGCTCGAGGTCAAGGTGTGGGTGGCTCAAGTGCAAGTTTTATTAAGACTCAGCTAGATGTAGCCCTTTCTTTCTCGTTTTTTGAGTACTTCCTCAAAGCTGTCAGTCAGGCATGGGTGTTGGTGATGGTAGATGACATCAAATCGAGTATGACTCGTGACCATATGAACAATAGATCTGAAGCTCGTCCTGTCCTGTACTGTCCTCACAATCTCCGACACCCTTGAGTCCATTCCTGCAGTTACTGTCTCAGCCCACCTGGTTTAGCGTCTGCCTCTCTTTTGCCATTTCTCCACCTTTCCAAGCATAGTGTCCTCCAAGGAATAGCCTCTCCTAGCAACATGCTTAAAGGATGTGAGATGAAGCTTAATCATCTCTCTGGCTGCATGTTTTCAAAAACATATCTTTTTCATACTTTCAGAAGTCCATGGGATACCCAGCACTCTTCTCCATGGGTAGATGGAAATGGGTGTGGATATGGATTTTTTTTTTAGAAAAAATAGATTTTTCAGGATGTTTCTAGTGTAAAAATAAAATACCTAGAAGATGGTATACTACCAACATTCTGCCTCATTGAAATAGTGTCCACATTTCCTGGTGGTTCCTATTACTAACAATTCAGAGTTCCTTAAGATTCGTGGTAAATTGAGTGCAGGAAGTTGTTAATAATGTAAAAGAAGTTTAATTAGATAAAGAGTATCCATGTAGCATTGCATTGGGAAAGCCTGCAGTCAGGGACCTCTCCAAATTACTGAGGAGCAATAATGCCAGTTTGAAGACCAAGATGCACCTATTGCAGGCCATCGTCTTTTCAATCACTTGATATGTATCTGAAAGCTAAATGATGAATAAGGATGATAGAAGAAGAATTGATGCCTTTAAGCTGTGGTGTTAGAGAAGAGAAATTAATATCTCATGGATGGGCAAAAGAACAAACAGATAGGTTTTGAAGAAGGTGCAGCCAGAGTTCTCCTTGGAGTCAATGATGATGAAGCTTCATCTCATATATTTTGGGCATGTTGCTGGTTATTTCTTGGAGAAGGCTATCATGTTTGGAAAGGTAAAGGGTGATCAAAGAGAGGAAGACCCTCAGCCAGATGGATTGACACAGTGACTATGGCAATGTTCATAAGTATGCCAGAAATTATGAGGATAGGACAGGGTTGAGATCTGTTGTTCATAGGGTTGCTGTAACTCACACTTCACTTGACAGACTCTAACAGCAACATCACATCCATGTGCCAAGATGAAAGAACACTCATTGAATAGTCTATAAATATATCAAGTATTAAAATCCAAATCACAGTAACCTCTAACAAGTCTATTGTATGCCCAAGTGCCAACTGTTATCCTAAAGGCTCTTCATATACAAACTCAATTAATTCTCCCAATAGCTCCTTGAAATAGAGTCTATTATTACCATTTTATAGATGAGGAAACGGAATCCCACAGGAGTTAAAGAACTTCTTGTAAATTCACAAAGAAAGCCCTGGTGGCCCTGGAGTTGAGTTGTTAACCCAGAGGTGGTGCCTCTCTCACAGTTCAAACCCACCAGCTGCTCTGCAAGAGAAATACATGCAATCTCCTCCTGTGCAATTTACACAAAAACCCACTGAAGGGTCACTTATGAGCTGGTTCTGACTCGACAACAATGAGCTGAGTTTGTTTTCTCCTTCAAGGTCACAGAAGTAGCCAACCATAGAACCATGCTTTGACCCTAGTCAAATACTGATCATAGTATAATCAACCAATTAGCCCCTTCACCTTTTGGTAAGAAAAGAGAAGTGAATAAATAACTTGCCCTAGACAGGGGTTAATCAATAGAGTACTTGGTGGTCCCCACCCCGCCATGGCTCTCTGTGCTGTTAACCTCCAAGCCACAATGGTCCATCTATCTGTCCAGGTGGTGACCTTGGATTATGAAAGTGATCTCTGGCCTCTGTAGTCTTCCTTTGCAGAGGAACCCTTATTGCTGACAGGGTATCATTGCCCAATACATGTTTGTGGAATAAACAAATGAATGGAGATTGCCACACTCGCTGGTGTCACAGTTGGCCAGTAGGCTGTGTTTTACAGTTGGGTAATCCCAGATAAGGACAGGAACATGGTGTTTATATAAGCAGCCTGTCATGGAAGACTGGGACAGAACCCTGGGAAGAGGAAACTTGGGTCCTTGACGATCGGAGGTCAGTAGACGGTGCCACGTGGGCCACGTGGGGGCTGGGATCCGTAGCAACTCAGAGACCCTGGGCCTTTCTTCCAGCTGGAATTGGGCTGCAGGTGGACAGGCTGCTCATTTGTCTATATCCCTCTCTCCTGTGCAGAGGTAAACTGAAAAACAAACAAACAAACAAAAGAACCAAAGAGGCCTCAATAAATATTTGCCCAATGCCTGCAGGAGTGATGGTGAGGGAGGGACGTTTTTTTTTTTTTTAAGTCCATCTTTGTACTCCCTATCTGACCACACCCTGAAGTCACTCCTGCATAAAGCTGTCTCTTCCTGTAGAGTGTCACCAGCAGAAGAACAAGCACAGAGCAGCCCTGTCTAGGGAGCTCCCTTGGTTGCCATGCCCAGGTACACAGTGCACGTGCGTGGGGAATGGCTGGCCGTGCCCTGCCGGGATGCCCAGCTCACCGTGGGCTGGCTGGGCCGGGAGGCCATCAGGCGCTACATCAAGAACAAGCCGGACAATGGTGGCTTCGACTCGGTGGATGCTGTAAACTTCCTTGTGCGCCGGTGCAAGGGCCTGGGCTTGCTGGACAATGATGACATCCTGGAGGTGGCCTTGGAAGACAACGAGTTTGTGGAAGTGGGTGAGTGGCTGGAGGGGAGGAGTGAACGGAGGTCTTGTTTTTTTGTGCTTGGTGCTGGCATCCCAGGGAGGGAGGTGCTGTGCTCTCCACTTCACGGAAAGTGAGAAGAGCTAGCGCGTTCTCAGTACCTGGTATGTGCCAGGTGCCTTGCTAAGTAAGTGCTCAGAAGAGTAGCTGAAGTGTTCACACCCCTCGATGAGCTTGATAGGATTCTTATCTACCATTTACACTGAAACAATCGATTCAGAAAGGGAGAAAGATCAGGCAGCGGATAAAGACTAGATTTTCCTCCAAGCCTGCAAGCCGGAGTCCTTTTTTGCTGCTACTGGATTATTTTTAAGGTCTTTTCATCTCTCAAAAAAACCTCACCAGACTATAGGTCAGAAGCACAGAGGCATAAAAGGTCCAAATTAAAACCAAAATAAAGCTGGATCAAGGTGTGCATCTTGAACTTCATTTAAGCCCCTGTATCTACCCTGAACGGCGAAACTTGAGGGTGAAGCCAGGCTGCTCTTTGGAGGCAAGGATTCTGAGCTCTGTCTGACATACTTTGGGCACATTGTAAGGAGGGACCAGTCCTTAGAGAGGGATATCATACTGGGAAGGGTGGGGGAACGGGGAAAGGGAGGAAGACCCTTGATGAGATGGATTGACTCAGTGACTGGGGTAATGAGGGTAGGTGTGTCAGAGACAATGAGGTTGGTTGGTTCAAGATAGAGCAGGGTTTAGAGCTGTTGTACATAAGGTCGTTATGAGTCGCAGGTAACTCAATGGCACATAACAACAACAACAACGTCTACGCTGACACATGTCTGCCTGCCTGCTGCTTTTCTTCCTCTGTAAAGACTCTAAGGCCACTTTCACTGAGTCATAAATTGAATAGTCCCTTCTTGGTTTAACAGAATATCACACACGGCCCATGCTGTAACCTGTAAGAGTCTCTCTTATTTCAGTCATAGAAGGGGATGCCATGTCTCCAGACTTCATTCCATCTCAACCAGAAGGTGTTTACCTGTATCCTTTCTCATGGCTCTCTGATCTGCTCTGTGCTCTGGCCCTGCCAAATGGTGAGGGCGGGGCTTTTCCTAGTACACTTTCTCTTCCTTTACCTGCGCTTCAGATACAGTAAATACCGGGAACCTGAAAAGGTAAGCTGCAAGTCATGCCTTTTTTTTGTTAAGGAAACAAGGTCAGGTCTTTTCATCCCTTAGTTAAGGATGGCAAAATGGGTGAGTAGAGACTATACGTTGGGACAGAACTTGATCCAGCTTCAATATGAAGGGTAAGAGAGCTTGTAAAGGCATCATGCTTTGAGTTTCTAACATATCTTTAGGGAGTTGTCTTTCTAATGAGCACACTGACAGCTCACCAAGTAAAAGCAAACAAATAAGCCAACCACTAAACTCAATGTCATCTAATTGACTCCTCCTTACATTAACCCCAGGGATGAAATCTCTGAAATGTCAAAGTTTGGTAGTGTTTGGAGTTTCCTTACTGCACTCATGCCTCAGTAACTCAATTGGTCAAACTCACTGCCATGCCCTTCCTTTGTGCAGTACATCGCCTTAGATGGGGACAGTCTGACCACAGAGGATCTGGTCAACTTGGGAAAGGGCCGTTACAAAATAAAGGTATAAGGGAAGAAGGGGAAGGGCAGGCTCTTGGGTCACGTATATGACAGGTCTTTTAACGTGCTCCATTCTAAACGTTTCTATAGCTCACCTCAATTGCTGAGAAGAAGGTGCAGAAATCCAGGGAAGTCATTGATAGCATCATAAAAGAAAAAACAGGTGCCATTATCTCATTGCCTAATAAAGTTCTCTTCATGGACTAAAGGAGGGGGGAGGAACCCACCGTCATTTAATGTTGTAATGTCTGCTTTTTATTCTAGTTGTTTACGGCATTACCACAGGTTTTGGGAAGTTTGCCAGAACTGTAATTCCTATAAACAAGCTGGAGTAAGTGTGATTTCCCTTCCACTCTCTTTGAGATGATTTTTTTTCAACCAGTGAAATGATTAATGTTTACATTTCTGTTCAAACGCATTTCCCACAATCTCCACGGCTCTGAAATTGAGGTTACTCCAACTTAACAGGCTAAGGGCATGAGCCTTGGGTTAACCTGCACACACATTGGTATTGAAAACACATACTTCAAAGTTCCTTCCACTGCCTTTTAGTATCCTTCCAAACACTGAACTCTTCTCCTCCTAGTGTCCTAGTTGAGTGCACATTTTAATTATGAGATATCTAAAAAGGTGTTTTTTCTTTCTTCTTCTAGAGAGCTCCAGTTCAATTTAGTACGTTCACATTCTGCAGGTAATTTATGCACATTGTTGGAGTGCCTTTGGGTGACAGAAGCTAGCCTAGCTCTTGTTTGATTATATAGATAAACCACAGCATCGCACTATTCAGCCTAGAACAGCCCCAAGGAGGATCTAGTGCATTCCAAGGACTAGCTGCCACATTTTATAGCCTGGGTGGAAAGGAAGCAGCAGACAAGCCCACATTTCAACTGAATCTCAGAAAAAGGAAGGGATCAGGTGGGGAGATGGGCTGGGACAGAAACACACATAGTGTCACATTGAGAGAATGGCACGTTCTGAGAACTAAATTCATGGCTCATGAAAAATGAGTTAGAAGAGGCAAGATGAGATGAGAAAGGCTGTCAGATATCAGTTCTTGTCAAACTGCGAAGATGCTTATATTGAATAGTCTGGATGTGTACGATGGTGGAGCTCCAATGAGGTGTTCCAGGAAGGGGAACAGAGAAGGGGCAACTGGGGTTTTACATAGACCTGGAAGATGAGGTAATAGGGTAAGAAATGAGATAGGTGAGAGGGGAACTACCTGTATCAAGAGGAGAATGGTTGTAGGGATTTGGACTTAACTGGAGCACGGTTTGAGAGATCATTGTAACCTTGAGGTAGAAATGTGTTTGATTCTCAAGAAAACATCAATTCTATTTTACAGGTGTTGGGAAGCCACTAATTCCTGAGAGATGTCGGATGCTCTTGGCTTTAAGGATTAATGTCTTAGCCAAAGGATACAGTGGCATTTCTTTAGAGACCCTCAAACAAGTTATTGAAGTATTTAATGGTAATGCAATCGGTCCTGGGTGTATCTTTTACTAAAGACTATGTGGCACATATTAAGGCAGTGAATTTGAATCTAAGTCTGCAAGAAAATGTCTATCAACGTGTTAATAGAGGTTCTCCAGGGAGCTAAACAAACGTTCTAATTCCATAACATGGAATCAGTTGATGGAATGCTAAGGAATTAACTGATATAAAATAGATATTTTTAAAATGATGATGAATGGAAAATGACCTTGATAAGAAAGAGGATAGCTAGAGGTGAGAAGAAAGGGTAAATGATATAAGGATACTTAGTCATGTACTTTAAACCTTTCTGCATCACCCATCACCTAACAGTTGGAATATTTAAGACTAGAGCAAGCTCTAGAAGACCTTAAGTTCACAACTGAAGAGAGCCTTTGAGTCAATGGTACCCACACATGGTTAAGTGGAGCAACAAGTTGTCAGGGGAATGCAGTGATTTTTGGACGTTCATCCCAAACTTGAAAAATTGCAACTAGACTTGAAATATGTTGCAATATTTTGCAATGGTAGACCAGAAATGCAAAGTGTTTGTGACTTAATGATTTGCTTGTGACCACAAAGTCAGAGAGAATAGCTGATAGGCAACTCAATGCTTTAGAGTTTGTGTCTTCGTTGTTGTTTGGTTTGCTTTTGGTTTTTGTTTTTTGGGGGGCTGGTCTGTTTCTTTTAGAGTCTGTGTCCTGACATAAGAAAATTCAAGATATGAAATGCTTGGGAGCCCTCTGTCCCTTCTGATAGGCTAAGATAACTTTTCTAGGTCAGTGCCTCAAGACTCTGGGGAGAATGTAGAAGGAGACAGGGCTGGGTCGTCACACAGGGCAAAACACCCTATGTAGGGATACAAATAAAAGATGCCAACTGTTGAATAGTAATTTGAATTAGTAGTCTAGAATATATAAGGCTATGCTAAACATCTCTATAGTGATTCTAAGGCCCATTTTTATCCTCACTCTGGTCTACCTTCCTTATAAGCCTAATATGATAGTCCAACTTTGACTTTGTACTCAGCCATGCTTTATGGGTTCCATGGCTTCTGAGAGTTCCATGGGCGTTGAGAATGTCTTAAGGCAAGCAGGGACTATTTGTGGATGGCACTGATTCTTCCTACAGGCATTATTTAGCACTTGGCAGGAATATTAATAACAAGAGTCTGATTCAACTGTGGGAAAATGAATCCTCTTTTTTGACAATGGGTTGGTAATGTATTACAAGAGTATAGGCTCATTTTTTCAAGAAGTAGGTGGTAGTTTGGGAGACTAGAAAAATGACAAAAAGAGACTAAATTGCCTATGACTTTAGCTCCCTGGAGAATCTCTGTTAACACATTGATAGATATATCCTTGCAGATTTACATTCTTTTCCTAAAATATTACTTTTGCTTTGAAGCATAAATTCATCTCCAAACACATTTCTTCAACAGCTTTTCATAACTATGTACAATTTAGACACATGAATGTATCTTAATTTCACATTTGGCTCATTTCAAACTTTTCATTCTTAGAAACAAGCCTGTGATTAACAGCAGCTGGTTCCTGGGCAAGCCTTTAAGATGCTGCTGACATTTCTGGAAACTGATGTATTAGGTCAAATATGAACATGAACGTGTTGAAACTTCACCACAAGAAAGTCTTTCTTTCCTCCCTTCTTTGCTCTCGCCCTCTGTTGGTATCCTTCTCCATTCTTTTCTCTAGCTCTTTCTGTCTTCCTTTCTTTCTATAACAGCTCGTGCAGATCCCTTAAGCATTACTATACTTGAGGGATCCCCTCTTCCAGGGCTTCTATGCCATTAAGTGATACTAGATAGAGTTTTTGAGAGGTGATTCACTGACAAAATAGAAATAGGCAGAGTGAAGTGACTATTCACTAACAGATATCTGCTTCTCTCCCAGCCTCCTGCCTGCCCTATGTTCCAGAGAAAGGAACTGTTGGTGCCAGTGGGGACCTGGCCCCTCTCTCTCATCTTGCTCTTGGGCTAATTGGAGAAGGAAAGATGTGGTCTCCAAAGAGTGGCTGGGCTGATGCCAAATACGTAAGACTTTTATCTGTTATGTTACCCTTGGTTAGTAACACTATACAGTTTGCATTACACCACCAGACCAACCACATGACCCACAAGAGAAGGATAGGTTGTCTCCTCTCATGAAGCTTCACAGCCTTGGAAGCCTAAAAGAGGGTCCAAGCCTGATGAGGCAGAACAGACCCACCAGCAGTGGCTCTAGTTTTCATCTGTTACTAAAGCAATTTCTGACAGTAATTCCCCTGGGCTAGTCCCTGGGCTTACTTACTTAATTATCATTGAAGTTCAAACTCAAATTCATTGCCATCAACTTAAAACTGGGGCAGGAGGAGGGGAGGGAACAACTAATCAACCAAACAATTAAAAAACCCAATTACCTTTACAGCTGCTAATGGATCCAAAGCAACGTTGAATCAATAGCTCCACTCCTTAGGGCTATGCTACCAGAGTTTTCTCTAATCCTTATGAAAACAATTCCCCCAAAACCTGAACCCACTGCCATCACATCACTGCATAGTGACCCTGAGACGAAAATAGAGCTGCACTTTAGGGTTTCCTAGGATGTTAATCTTCGTGGCAGCAGACTGACACATCTTTCTAAGATCGTTGGATGCAGCTCAGTGCTTAACCTCTGTACCACCAATGTTCCTTTAGTCCTTATTACTAATTACTTATTCTTGATGAGAGAGGAACTACTACCCCTATTTTATAGATGAGACCAAACAAAACAGAAACCCAAACTCACTTCTGTCAAGTCCGTTCCAATCCACAGTGACCTGTGCTGTAATCTCAAAGGCGCATGGTTCAAACCTACCAGCTGCTCCACGGGAGCAGGATGGGCAATCTCCTCCCATGTGATTAACTCCCTCTGAAAGCCCAGTGGAGGGTCAACTATGGGTGTGTTCCAACTCAACAGCACACAACAACAACATGCCCATCTTTCTCTCACAGGGCAGCTGGTAGATTTGAACAGCCAACCATTTAGTTAGAAGCCTGATTCATTACACACTAAGCCACCAGGGTTCCTTAGCGATAAGACAACTGAAGTTTAAAATCAAACTAGGCAAGAACATTGTTTTTGTGTGTCATCAAGTCAGAAACAACTCATAGCTGACCATTTAGCAGGTTTTTGGAGGCTGTAAATTGCACTAGGAGGAGATTGCCCATCTTTGTCCTGCAGGTTACAGACTTCACCAGATACCAAGCTTTCTGTGCTTGGTGATGACCTTGGCAAGAGGGTACAGCTGCTAGTGTTAAATAAAGTGTCAGTGGCTCACTGGCAGAATTCTTGCCTTCAATGCAGGAGCCCTGGATTCCTACATTACTCAGTCAATATTCCTCAGCATACCACAACTCAGGTTAGTGGAAGCTCATGTGTTGCTATGATTCTCTACTTTCTCCAGAGTATCTTCCAGAAAATGAGGCACTAGGAAGAAAGGTCTGGTGATCTACTTCCAAAAATTAGCCGGTGGCAATGCTATGGATCACAATGATTAGACCACAAGTGATTATGAGGATGGTGCAGGATCAGGCAGCTCTTCCTTCTACTGTGTGCGGGGTCACTCTGAGTTGAGGGTTATCGCAACAAAAGCTGGAGTTCATTCCAGATCCAGTGCCTGCCAGTGGGGTCACTAACCTCTACAAACTTACGTGTACATACCTCTGAGCTGTGAATCCAAGCCTCTGGAAAGCAGGTCCCATGAGCCCCAAGCTCCCTTGCTGATGGCCAAAGAGAAAATCTTTTTTGTGATAAAGCCTTATTGCTACCTTCATCCATCTCCAACTTCCATGAAAGTGACCCAGAGCATTATTTAATGTCATCTCTGATCCTTTGCTGGAAGGAAGTGTCTACCAGTGAGTGAAAAAGCAGAGGACTAGGAAGGAAAGAACCACTAAGGTGACAGATCAGCCTCTGGTAACACAAATCCCAGGTCATCTTTCTCTTTCCCAGCCTCATCTTGATTAGCTCTTAGACATAGCATGTCCCCAGCAACCTTTTCACATCTACTATGTGGACTTAAGAGTAAATCCAAATGCATCCTGGTTGAAATCTAGAACGTAGTCTCTTTATTACAGGAGTGTGTGCACATCAAGAAGTAGCAAGGTTTTTGTGGGATCCGCTCAGCCCCCCCCCCCTCATACTTTGCTAAACTGGATTTCCTATGACTATTACCAAGGTGGATGGTCAGCACAGGAGAGGAAGATCTTCAACAAGATGAACTGACACAGTGACTGTAACAATGGGCTCAGGGATATCAGAGATGATAAGATGGCACCAGAGAACAGCGCCAGGTTCAGATCTGTTGTTCATAGAGTAGTTATGAGTCAAAATCTATTTGAAAGCACCTGACAACATTATTAAGGTTAAGTGCTTACTGATAATGAAAACTTGGTTGTTCGAAGTCTTCAACCACTCAATGAGAGAAAGATGTGGCAGTCTGTTTCCATAAAGATGTGTAGTTTGGAAGCCTTAAAAGGACAATTCCGTTGAAACAGATGAGGGATAAATCTGTTTAAAAGGGACATATGAATGGGTATTCTTGTCATTACAGAAGTCCAGAGTGAAGGCTGCATAGTGGAGTGGACTTGGGAAGAGGGATTGCATAACAATGAAAGAGTTTTTCATTTTCTTTTCAAGGACAAGAGTGAGTTGGTGGGTAGGGACAAAAGTGCAACAATGAATGACTGGAAACCTAAGTCCCTGTTGTTGTTGTTATGTGCCGTCAAGTCGCTTGCGACTCATAGAGACCCTATGTACAATAGCCCTAAACCCTGCTCTATCCTGTGCCAATCTCACTGCCTCTGACACACCCATCCAGATTACCCCAGTCACTGAATCAATCCACCTCATAGAGGATCTTCCCCTTCTGCACTGTGCCTCCACCCTCCCAAGGATGATGTCCCTCTCCAAGGACATATCCCTCCTTACAACAGGTCCAAAGTATGTCAGATGAAACCTCAGAATCTTTGTCTCCAAGGAGCAGCCTGATTTAACCCTCTCCAGGATGAATCTGTTTGTTTTCTTGGCAGTCCATGGTACATTCAATACTCTTCTCCAGCACCACAGCTCAAAGGCGTCAATTCTCCTTCTATCCTTCCTAGTCATTGTCCAACTCTCTGATGTATAACAAGTGATTGCAAAGACCATGGCCTGTATCAGGCGGACCTTATTCTCCAGAGAGACACCATTGTTCTTGAGTACTTTAGAGAGGTCCCTAACAGCAGACTTTCCCATTGCAATACATTTTTTTATTTCCTGGATACTGGTGCCAAGAGTGTTGATCGTGGAGCCAAGCAGACTAAAGTTGTTAACAATCTCAATCTCTTCACCATCCATCCTGATACTGCCAATTGGTCCAGTGGTGAGAATCTTTGTCTTCTTGACATTGAGCTTCAATCCATACTGAAGGCTGCAGTCCTTGACCCTCTGCAGCATGTATTTCAGGTCCTCCTCAGTTTCAATCCCTGTAAATTTTCATTAAAATTTTTTTTTTTAAAGAAAAGGGGGACAATTCTACTCTGTCCCATGGGATTGCTGTGAGCTGGTATCAACTAGATGGTGAGGAGTTTTCTCTATGTAACAGACCACCAGAACTTGTTTTCTACAGAGTTAAAGGTGGATTTGAACCTCTCATCTTTTGGCCAGCAGCTGAATGCTTAGTCATCGCATAACCAGGCTCCCACAGAGGTCCTTTAACCCAAAATTTAGAGTTGCCTTACAGGGAATAGGCCGTCTGATTTCTTTAAGTACAAAATATATCTGAAAGGTAAGTGTGCCTTTAAGGCTGAAAATTAGAATGGGCAGGGAGAAAAGTGCAACAATAAATGAATGGAAATAAAAAATATCTGTAATTGTTCATTAAAATTCATAAAATTATTATTATTATTATTAATAAAAAGATGCATATAAAAATATTAGAATTGGAAAACAGACCAGAGATCATGGACAGAGACAATCTGTGTACATTAAATCTTGCCTAGGAAGCTCTGGTGGTGTGGTTTAGCCATAAGGGGTTGTGCTGCTAAAGCCAAAGGCAGCAATTCTGGCAGTTTGATTCCATCACAGTATCTCCAAGGGAGAAAGATGTGCAGTCTCCCCATACGTGATGTACAGTCCCAGAAACTGCTGGCAGGTCAACCGTGAGTCAGCCCCACCTTGATGGCAGTGAAAGAAAGAATCTTTCCTAAGATGGACTTCTGGCCTTAACACTTTCATTCCATCTGAAATGAAAACCAAGCTGTTCATTAAATTAACACTTCTTTAAAAACTTTATTTAGTAAACACTTTTTTAAAAAAACTATTATTTGGTCCACTTAATTAAAACATTACTGATAAATTATAATTCCATTTAACTTGTGGACACTCTCTCTTCAAATCTCTCATCCGTTACCAATGTTGTTGAACTTCAGAACAGGATGCTGTGTTAGTTCTGACATTTATGTACAAAGGAAGAGCATTACAAAGAAAAGATGCCCAGGCTATACAAAGCAATGGTCAGCGCACTTTGTTTAATAAATGCTTTTGCCTTTTTAATCCTTCAATAGGTGCTGGAAGCCCATGGATTGAAGCCAATTGTTCTGAAACCCAAAGAGGTAAGGAAATAAAATGAAAATAGTTCCTTTTAGGAGGTCTTCGTTTTTGTACTACTTTCATTCTTTTAAAAAAATTTACATTTTATTATTATTATTATTTTAATTGATATTTTAATGAAAGATTACAGAAAACAGATTCCTATTCATTCATTGTTGGACATTTTCTTTCATAACCGCCCCCAGTTTACTTTTCTGTTTAAAAAGATTCTTTCGTTATTGCACAATTTCCTCCCTCCCCCCCTGCTCCAGTCCACTTTGTTATGCATCTCTTATTATGGACTGTTGTCATGCAAATGATACCTAATCATAAATTTCTTTTAGACACCTTTTCCCATCATTTATTTAAATAATGAACACTATTTTCATGTTTACCACCACTACCTTATTTCTTAAAACAAATGCGGCTTAATGATTATTGATCATTAAAGAAAGATTCCTCAATAAGCACTTAAGAAGTTCTGCATGTCACAAATGTTTATTGGTGGGTTTACTTGGAATTCTTTTACAACTAAACTTAAATTTAGGATCCAGGATGTTGTTCCTAAGTGTTAAATGAAAATTGTCTTCAGATATCTTGTCTACAATGGTGATAAATTAAAAAAAGAAATGTAGCACAGAGAAGAGCTAAAGATTTGGGGTGTAATCTATGCTCTAAGCTATCATTGTTACCTTGAGAATGGAGATAAAAACCATTTTCCAAGACATGGAAAGAATTTTCTCAGAGAAAGATGTTCAGATAGCCAACAGACATAGGACAACAAGTAATAAGTGGTGGAAAGGATGTGGTGAGATAGGAACTCTTATACATTGTTGGTAGGATTGTAAAATGGTACAACCACTAAAGCTGAACATAGAAATTCCATGTGACCCAGCTATTCCACTGCTTGGAATATACCTTGAGAAAATAAGAACTGAGACACAAACAGAGACTTGTACACCAATGTTCATAGCAGCATTACTCACCATAGCAAGATCATGGAAACAGCTTATATGTCCAACTACAAACAAATAGATTGAGAAATTATGGTACAGTCACATGATGGATTACTATGCAGCACGCGGGAGCAATGATTTTGTAAATCAATACCTGACTTGGGAGGGACTAGAGAGCATTATGCTAAGTGAACTAACTCAGTCCCATAAGGACAAATATTGTACAAGACCATTATTGTAGAACATGTATGAGGATCCAAAGGGGGAAGGGTGAGAGCAGAGGTGGGGAGATGGTTAATCACAGGGTTTCACAATTTGATGGGTGGACAGAGGAGTGAGTAAGAGAAATGGGAAAGATACAGTGTGAAAAATAATGGATATAAACTTTGTAAATAAACCAGTATAAAATAAAAATTTTATTTCAAGAAAAAAGGAAACACCATTTTTTGCCATCGATTTGACTCCAATTCATGGCAACCTCATGGCAGTACCCAAGAAATTAAAAGATGTGTTGCACTGGGGAAATCTGCCATTAAGGACTTCTTTAAAGTACTGGAGAGCAAGGATATCAGTTTAAAGACTAAGGGACACCTGACCCAAGCCATGGTATTTTCAATTGCTTCTTAGACATCTGAAAGTTAGACAATGAATAAGGAAAAACAAAGAATAATTGATGCCTTGAATTATGAGATAAGCAGAAAGTGTAGAATAGCCCATGGGACTGCCAAAAAAGCAAACAAATCTGTTTCAGAGGAAGTACAACCAAGGTTCTTCTTAGAGGCAAAGATGATGAAACTTCATTTCACATAATTTTAGCATCTTGCTAGGAGGGGCCAGTCATTGGAAAAAGACATCATGCTATGCAAGGTAGACGGCCAGCAGATAAAAAAGGACAGCCTAACAAGATGAATTGACACAGTGGCTACAACAATGGGCTTGAGCATAATGGGGATTGAAGTGACAGTGCAAGAATTGCCACGTGGTTCTGATCTGTTGTTCGCAGGGTGGGGATGAGTCAGGGTTGACTCTTTCCTGTCACCCACCTTGAGGCACCTAACCACAACATGGTGACCCCTGTGTGTCAGAGTTAAATTGTGTTCCATTGGATTTTCAAGGCTAGGTTTTCAGAAACATAACAACAAGCCTTTCAGGTAAGGCACCTCTAATTGAATGTTTACCCTTTGATTAGTATTTGAGTGCACTTATTCACACAGGGCAGTCTAAGAATGGAGATGGTGGTGGTGGTGAGCTCCATCGAGTCTGAACCAACCCATGCCTGACCCTGCAGCAGATTTTCTGAGTCAATAAGAATGAGGATAAAAAAGGAAGTAAGAGAGAGAGAGAGAGAATTTGTTTGCCAGATTTATGCTAAAGCTTTCAAATCAGATAGCACATAATTTTCAAGTGTTTAAATAAATATCACAGATTTGCACTTTAGAAAACACGAATAAACATGGTTCATCTGACTGGCTAGTTTTTCCCTTATGAAAGCAAACAGCGCAAAAGCACACTGCATGTAAGATAGTTAAAATAAACATTTCTCTCCCTCTCCATAGGGTCTGGCACTCATCAACGGAACCCAGATGATCACCTCCCTGGGCTGTGAAGCTCTGGAGAGAGCCAGTGCAATCGCAAAGCAAGCTGACATCGTGGCGGCCCTGACCTTGGAGGTGCTCAAGGGCACCACCAAGGCCTTTGATACTGGTCAGCATGATTCTTCTCTTCTGTTACTGCTACACATTTAATGAGAAGCTGGGAGGGTGAGAAGGTCAAGGTCTTTAGATGAGCAAGTGGCAAGGTGGGTAATAGGGAAGAAGAGAAGAAAACCCAAGTGCCTACATCATGCCCAAGTTGACTCCAGCTTCATCTAAGTCATGCCACACTTGTCCTTGAAACAATCATGTTTTAGATCAAAACCTTCTCTTCAGGGTTAAATGACCTGCCCAGATTAACCAGAAGTCCAACTCCTATCAGACTATGTGTTGTTTTAGGTATCTGTTCATGAGATTTTGACAGAATGAAGGTTGATCCCCACTAGAAAACCGAAAAGCTATAGGAATAGCATCATATCTAGGGTGTCAGATCTCAAAGTCATTGTATGAGTTGCTTTCTAACTCTTGTTGTTACTGTTGTTGAATTGCAACTGACCCATATCCGACTCACCTGAGGGTTTTCAGAGGCAGTATAATCGTACAGGAGGAGATTGCCCATATTTCTCCTGTGATTAGCTGGTATTGTTGAGCCATCTACCTTCAGGCTGACAGCCCAGCTCCTACCACAGGCCACCAGAGCTCCACAGCAGTGCAACACACTATAGGCTGTATCACCAGAGTTTCTCATCTAGAATGTAGTAAATTTGAAACGCTACCTATTATTACAAGAAGCAGGACAGAAAAATATACTTAATTAGGTCACCAAAGAGTTATCTCCCATTATCGTTTTAAATCTCTAAGGGTGGGCAGGTACGTTGTCTTGAACTGGATTCTCAGTGGGTTCAACACATACTTGGAACTCCTATATTTAAAGTGGAAGGAATAAAATCAATAATAAGACATGTTGTTGTTGTTGTTA